TCTGTCTGTCTGTCTGTCTGTCTGTCTGTCTGTCTGTCTGTCTGTCTGTCTGTCTGTCTGTCTGTCTGTCTGTCTGTCTGTCTGTCTGTCTGTCTGTCTGTCTGTCTGTCTGTCTGTCTGTCTCGGTCGGGCAGGACACACGGACGAACACACCCACGATGTCTATAATGCACTGCTCCTCGGGCTGCGTTACGGACATCGCCAATGCCTAGCTCCGAATTCACACGCACAATCATACACACGATGTCAATAATGATTAGATTATCAATTTTAAAAAATACAAACAAAAAAGCTCATTCTAGAGCCAAAATGCTTCCCCCCCCAAGCTAAAGCTTAAGCTATGCTATCTAGCAGCTGATCTTCCAGTCTATGCGAACCGACACAACGCCTCAGCACCTTCGGTGCGGGCGGATTAGCTGTTTTTTCAATGCTCTCCAGAGTTTGTGCAAGGCTGACAAGCACAGTGAAAAAGGGCTCTCCAGCGAACACAACCGATCAACATGGCAGCACAAGAACCGACGAGTACCGAGTCCTGTACCGACGAGTACCGAGTCCTTGCCGAGCGCACCGGTACCCCAAAAAACATGCCTTGTCCATGATTGACTTTGGCACTTTTTCAGTCTGCAATTGTGAAGGCTTACTTTCAACTAGACACACCGGCAACCCACAGAATCACACCTCCTCGTGGACTGAGCGCAGTTGAGGAAGTAGAGGACCCACCGGCACAGAGGACAGCATCTCTACGAAGATCCCGCTCTTTAACCTCGAGTCTGCAAAACAAGTCAAGTCAAGAAGCAGCTTACATGGGAATAGGGTGAAGTGAGAAGTGAGAGCCTCTAGTCTTGGCCTCAGCCTTGGGAGGGGCGCCCGGCACCAAGCAACCCTGCAAGGTGAGCGACCTTTCGGATGCCCTCAAGAACAAGGAGAAACAAGCGTCATCCAAGGGTAAGTGCCGCCCAGGTGTGAGTGCGAGTTCCAGTGCAATGCTCCCCTCAGCGCAGAGGCAATGCAGCTCGATGTGTGCGTGTGTTTTCCCCCTCAGATCCATGGGAAGACCACCGGACCCACCGCCCGATGTTCAAGACCCGCGGCGTAGAGACCCAACCAGAGAAGCCCAGCGCGGGTCTTCGGCGCGTGGCGCTCCAGCGGCGCCACCTGAGAAGCCGATGTGCATCGTTCGCCAACGCGGGAGGTACTTGTTCCAACGGAAAATGGTCGCAATCCCTTTTGTTTCAATGAAGAGGGGATGGATTGGATGTCTGTTTTTTTCCCAGGTGTTTGTTTCATTTCATGTCCAACCTTTCGGGAGGCTTGTGCTGACGCTTGGGAAGATGGGTGGACCGAGGAATTTGGGAAATCCCAGGGTCAAAAGCCATCCAGCTGCCACGTCTGTTCATTTGATCCACCACCAAGCTGAGCATGGTCACTCTGGTGCACCCTCCAAAAAGAACCGTCTGCAGGACTCAAACTTCATAACCCTCTTGGAGACTTCGACCGGCAACCAATTCGACCGGAGTGGTTTCTGTATAACTTCACTCAGAACTTTGAGTAGTGCCACAGAATGGGGCGCCTTTCGGGTTGCAAGGCCAGTCAATCTATGGCTTCCGCCACGAACGAGAGGCCTGCACACGGCACGTGTAGCGCAAGGTGCTCCCACACTGAGATTTGCATGGGTAAGTCCAAGAGGGCGTAGTCATTGTCTGAATCTCCTGGTTTGCTGCAAAACCTCAAAGTCCTATCCAAGTAAGTTAGTAGCTGCCCAACCACATAAGCAGCAATTGTTGGCCAAAGCAGCAAAGAGACCAAAAAACTCTTGTCTTCGCTTCATTCAGCTCAGCTCTGGTCAGGTGAGCTTCAGTGCATAACAGCAAAAGAAGGGGAGCATTCAACAAACGGACACTGCACTGAAGCGGGTGCTTCGGAACAAAGACATGCCAATGCAGCCATGCTGGTTCCGCCATGGGCAAAGACAGGAGAATAGATTCCACCATCCCAAGTATGAACAAGGCTGTCAGCAGGACCTTCAAGGCTGGTCTTTCGGAAAGAAAAGCTGGCAGGCCCCTCATGCGCAAGGAGCTGTGCTTGCAGGAATACCACCAACAGAATAAAGGCAAGTGCAATTCCCATTGACACTCCTAGCCCAAATTGTGTCCCTTGAAGCACATCCCATTCAGGGCAGTCCAAAGGATGCAACAGGCTCGCCAGCCAAGACAAGACCTTGCAAAGCTTTCACTTCCCACTCCTCCTGGACTGCTTGGTACCAGGTGATTCTGTAGAGATCCAAGCAACCAAGGCATCTTCAGTCTTCATGCCACGTAGCATCAGCGGCGGCTGCAACACTTTGGGTGCTCTTCCGGGAATGCCCATTTTTGGGAGGTGAGCTTGAGTGGTTCGAGGTTGGGCACATGCTGTGACCGTTGTGAATTGAAGTGTCGTTCGGGGTTTCACAAATAGACACCTGACAGCGGTGACATGTTTTGCATGGCCTCCAATGAAAAGCACGAAGTAGGGCTGTTCCAGGTCTCTCAACAGAGAAATCGACCACAGCAAACACTTGGTCACAAGCACCTGCTGATTCATCCTTTTTTCAAACCAAAAGGAAAGCCTTGGTACTTCAAGTAGGTCAACTTCTTTCCTTGAAGAGACACAATAACACAGTAACGATCTATCAGCTGCCCAAATCTGTCTAATCCTAAAAGACAATTTAAAGGGAAGGGTCAGCCTTTGCTTGATTTGAAAATATTGGGGGAATGAACCATAAGAAAACTTGGGCCACACTCAGCCCCTCAAGCAAACACATGCATATGATTGATTTCTGAGTCTTTGCTCCAGGAAAATATGTCTTAGAGCGTTGACAGGTATGTCCCCTGAAGAATGGAGGTGGATAGACCCCTCAAAAGACAGTGTTTCCTCTGCAAAACAGCGGAGCCTTGTGTGCGTTTACCACATTTAAAGTCCTCTGTGACCCTTGGTTGGATGAGACGACTCCTTGGTTGCATGATGAATAATGTTTCGCACCAGCGAAATCCTGCCCTTAGTTCAACACGCAGATCCTGGACTTCGATCAAAGTAAAGCCTCACCTTCAGCTTCGACAGCTTCGAAACCAGGGCAAGATGTTCCGATGGTTTTGATTTGATGAGGTTTTACTTTCATTGGTGTGTTTTCATTTTGAACCTGATCGTGTACATCCACTCCACCCCACCAGCCGGGCCACTGCACCTCCGGCGTCTCACAGCCGGAATCGGCGCAGAGCCGCCGGAGGCGCCGGTCGTTGGTCACGGCGACCACCGGCTGCGAGCTTCCAAGGCGCCTGGGGCGGGGAGAGACCTGGAGATCCCAGCGTCAGGCTCCGGCACCACTTGCTTCAGGCTGTTTTGGACCCTCAAAAACACTGGTGGAAAGTCTAG